TTTTATATATATATATATATATATATATATATATATATATATATATATATATATATATATATTTGTAATTTTCCCTGTTTTGATCCGAATCCAACTTTGTTTAATAACATGATTAGCCAAATGTAAGGAGGATGTATGTAGATGTTATACACATACATATATACATAATGTTATACACATACATATATATATATAAGATGTGTATGTATATATGTATGGCATGATGGTTAATTATAAGATGTGTGATGATGAGAATGGGATACATAATGCGGCAGGCAGCAACTAACGTACTCGGAGTACGGATGCTTCGGGAGTGGATCGGACACATCGAGAAGAGTGAAGTGGGAGAAGAAACTCGACGGAGTTGCACTCCGGACCTTGTCCGATGAAGACTTCATCAATCGTGACAATTGGCTCGACCAATTGCCCATCCCCTTCTATTAATTAATGATTTTTCTCCGCCTTCTCCCTCCATATATACATACATATGTGTAATTTGTACCCATTTAATTAATCTAGTTAATAAGATTTAATTTTCTCAAATTATAGTATGTAACATTAGGGTTTTAAATGGTGATGGTTTTTATTTTGATTTTTTTGCTTTAGTTTGGTTTTTTATTTTAAGAAAATAAAAATTTGGGTTTTAGTTAATTATTTCACTAAAATGTTTACAAAATCAAAGATTATCAATTTTTATAGTTTTTAGATTTTAAAAACTCTACAGATCTCTTTCATTATTAATTCCACAATGAAATATTTAACAATGAGTTTCTCCTATTATTTGACGAAAATTATATTATAATATTTTATGGGGTCCGGGTTCAATCCGAGTTTTTCGGTCTATCCGATTTCGATCCGAATACCCATCCGTTAAATTTTCCCATAAATCTGCGTATGACCGGTAACCTCTCTTAAAATCTTCCCCACATTTTCCGTCACTTTATCGGAAAATTTGAAGAGAAAAAGTGGGGAGGGGGCGATGGACTCGGCGATTCAGTCGCTTCCGTTTGATACAAGTGTTGGCGGACAACGGCGAGTACCATGGAGTTCTCTATGGGACCGATCTTCCCTGCTCCATGGGCGGTTTGTCGATACCGTCACTCAGATTGGTGGACCCGACAGTGAGTGTGTGTGTGTATATATTTATGCGTGTAGAGTTTCTGGATCTCGGGAAGAAATGTGGGTTCGGAGTGGGAATATATCTTCTTGGGTGGGCTCTCTTGTGTTTGGTTGCTGTGTTCATGATTTCTTAGCGAAAGTTCGTAACTTTTTTCTTGGGTTTGCGGAGATTTCTTCTTGGTTTTGTGTTTGTTTGTGCTTTGGATTAGGTTGGTCAAGTCAATCTTCGTTTCCTGCGACGAATTTTTCCTAAAAGTTTAGTAATTTGGATGTCTTATAACAACTACTTGATTCGATGAAGCTTTAGCTTACATGTATTGAAGTTTTCACTAAGATTGATTTGAACTTGGTCGTTGGAGATGTGCTAACTATCCTTAGATTTAGATCCATTTTTTGGGAGATTTCAAGTTTCATATTGTTTCTTACGACATAGTGATTTCTTTTCCGGAATCATTTTCTACTTTAAAAGGAAAACTCAAATGTCGGAATCTTGCCAGAAAAGTTGGTTTTTTGTGTGGATTTAGTTGGGTAAAGAGTAAAACATCGAGGGGCAGAGAAAATAGCCATTAACATGTTGAAGTTGAAGAAAGGTGAAGAGAGGTGATATCGCAAATCTAGGTGCAAAAATATGATCAAGTAATAATATTCCTAGACTCAACAATTAACCGCAAGTGTACGGATCGTGTGTAGTAGATAGGATCGAACACAGGGACAAAAATAGACAAAGAATTCAAATGCAAACCCAAGTCAAGATTCAAGGAAAATAATAGGAGTGTAGTGAATAAAACAAATAACGAAAACGGTTGTAAAGTGTGAATGATGAGTACTGCAGGCTTCGGGATTGCTTCACATGTAAGGATCTTTCAAAAGATACAAGCTTGACGGTTTATCTATCCAATTCAGGGAATTCAAGCTCTAAAATAGAGATTAACTCTTCCAAGTCTAATCTCACTATTCAGATTTAATCCTACCAATCTCCCGATTCGATAATCTAAAACTCTGAATGCATGAACGAACGCTATCATGATTCCTAGGCAAATACCAATCTCCCGATGTGATACATGTTCTATCTATTGAATTATTTCCAGGTTATAATCCCATATGTCTATGTGAATTATAACCCTAAGATCATTTAATCAAGCGGCCAACAAGATCAAACGCATTAAAAACAATTCAATAAACTGAATAGAATAGACAAATCCAAAAAGTCTGTAATTAAAAACCAAAGATCCATACATAGCAAATCCCTAACCTATAGCTTTGGGACTATTCGCTAAACATCGAGGTGACAGAGTTCATATCCATACAACAAAACATCGTAAAATAGAATAAGGAAAAAACTCTTAGTCGATTTCTTGGCTTCATGATCTTCGTCTTCTACTTCGATCTCTTGCTTCCTGATAATCTCCCCCTTTGTTGGTGTGCTCTAGGTCCCTTCTCTGGTAAAAGTCTGAATGAGTCCCCCTTGGAGGCTTGACCTAGTTAAGTCTTTCTTTCCTGACCAGATTTGGAAATATTCCTGAAAAATCCCGTAAGTGACACGATCGTGTGAGCACAGGAGACACGATTGTGTGGGACTATTAATGTAGAGTCAGGTTTTCGCGACTTAACCCGATCGTGTGAGTGCAGGAGACACGATCGGGTGAACCATCAATATTACTCTTGTCTTGGCGAAATGATCCGATCGTGTGTTGAAGTAGAAACACGATCGGGTGGATTCTTGATTCGATATAGCTTCCTTGGTGACGAGACACGATCGTGTGAAGGCAAGTGACACGATCGTGTGCAGCATTGAAACTCGTTCTTTTCCGGGATTTTTGTCTTTTCTTTCGATCCTATTGCTTGTACCTGCAGTCATATGTGAACCATGCGAAAATCAAGGCTAAACATGCATTTAAACATCTCATATGATATAAAACCAAGTAGATATGTCAGATGAATTAATGCAAAAGTCGTGTATATTGCGTGTTATCAAGAGGTGACACAAAATTCAACAAATCAGAAAGTTTGGATAGTTTTGTTGGTTTTCTTAATATTTATTTCATGTTTTATGAATCTTCCCTACCTGCAGAGTTGATTTAGGATACTTGGATCAACATGCCCGGTTCATCCCTTTAACGTCTGATTTCTTTCAATGACTGTAATTTCATAGTATATTTTAGATCAGAACACTTTTTGTTGTATATTTTTTTTTGAGATTTGACGTGCCATTAGTTGAGACCTTTCTGAATCTTTTTTCTATTCATCTTACAGAATCAACACCTAAAACTGTTATGGGAACGATGAGGCTGAAGTGTCTAACTATCTGCCAATTTAAATCACATTTTCAGGTTTATTGCGGCCAAGACCATAGTTACTTTCTTTAATCTTGGAGATGTCATCTTTTCTATAGCAATGTGTAACATTTGCTAGATGAGTGGAAACTTAAACTTATAAGGATTTCGCTCATTTTAAATATAAGATTTCAAGATTCATGAAGGCTTAACAAGTTGGCAACGGTATTTTTTTTTTATTTGGTTTCAATCAGGCAATGTATCTGCATAACTTGGAGGCTTTCAAGTCTATTGATCTTGATCTTGAATTTCCCCCAAGTCAATGTTTTGATTGTGTTTTCCCCCTTTCTGCTTGTTTTTTTTATTGCTTAAAAGAAATACCGCTCTGGAAGGCAAACATGCAAGGAATCATCTGAGAATACTTAGGATATTATCTATTCTAGTCTCTGTTTTTCAACCGTCATATTTGTCCTGCTTCTTTGGTATCCTATCAATTCTCTGTTTTGCACCTCATAAACCTATTTGCCGGGAAAAGGACATGAAACTCCGTTGCTCTTCTATGATGTTATTTGCTGAAATATAAAGAAACTTTCCAAGATTATATACTCGGCATTTGCAAAAATCAACAAGTATTATATGGTTGAACCTGTTTTTTTGCATGGATTTAGTTGAAGCCCATATATAAATCTCTCATGACTTGCTCAAATTGGGTGATAGTCTTATTGCATGAGTTTGATGATAAGCTTCTTGTTTTGCAGAGTGCCTTGAGTCAGGATACAGGTTCATCTTCAACACCTTTCATTGAGAATGTTAGCTCAAGAGTAGTTCAAGTGTAGTTAATGTTGTTTTTCCCCTGCCTATTCCCCTGGTTTTCAGCATCTCCTGAATACCATTTTAAGATCAAATCGTACATCATTTCTCCGTGAGATAGGGCTACCAGATCACTGAAGAAGCTTTGAGAGCGCAGATGGAAGTCTAAGGAAGATTACCCAAGTAGTTGAAGATTAGTTTTCTTCTCGTCTGATTATCTTCGTGAAAATACAAGGCATATGATTAGAGATAAAGTAATTTCAGTGAGACATCCTACGTAAGACATAGTTAGATATGAACAATGACAGAACCTCAATTTTGACATTATCTTGAGGGAAAAATAATTCTTCTAATAATAACATTGTCTCTTGGCTAGCTGACCATGGAAAAGAACATAGATAGATGATACACGTGGTTCGGGTTAATGCTTACCTCCCATGTAAAACTTGACGCCTAAACCCAGTACATGAGGATACATTTTGTTAATGTTCTATATCTTACATCATACCTGAGAAATGCAGTCTCGAGATCCTTGATCATGCAGGATTCAATTTAGTATCTCTGCCCAAAACAAAGGAATAAACAACTTGATGGTAAGTTTCTGAGATGATTCTGCCATCAGTGGTTTTGAATACTGTTTTTTTAGCATGCGCAGGGTGTAATGGCAGCTCCAAATGAGAGGATAGAGGCAAAAGGGAAGTACCTAAAGGCGATTCTTGAGAAGGCTCTAGATGAGAAAACAACCTCATTTTTCTGGGCTAGAGGCCTCAAAGAGAAGAGCTCTCAATCGGGTGTCAAGGAACAAACGGTCATGTTCGAGACAACCCAAGATGGCGATGCCATCTTTGTCTGAACACTGGCATTAACAATAGAGCAGAAGACTATAAACTATTGAGGTGAGAGCTCTCTGATCATTGTTCAAATTGGAGAGAATTCTGTGAAGTAAGATATTTAAACTATTTGTTATCTATTGTATCATTCATTATCTTCATTTTTACTGTTTTAACAACAATAATGACGTTAAAATTTTATATATGTGTGTATATATATATATACGTCAGTTAAGATTTGGATTTTCTTTGCTGGCTCGGAGGCACTTGCAAGTGTTTATGTACATGTTTTTGTCTCTTACATGTTTTGTGTTCCTCGGGTAGCCGCACAACTATCGGGTTCTCATATTTATATTTATTATTCAAAACAGATAAATTAATAGAAATTACAGTTTTCCGATTTTTTTTCAAATTGGAGATTTTATTTGGATTTTGTGAATTATTTAGATGTTTTGTAAAAGTTGCATAACTTTTTTATATTTTTAAAAATGAATTTATTTGGGTTTGAGGATAATTGAAGTTTTAAATGGATTTGAAAAAATGATAAGTTTTTTGTTGTTTGTTAATATTTTCTTCATTTTGGCTATATAAATTATTTTTAATGTGTAATTAAAAATTGATATTGTCCCCAGTATTGTTTACGTGAATCACATACAATTCTCTTTCATAAAAAAGGATTGACATTTGTGTCTAATAATTAATCGGGATTTCGCCATAGCATTAAAATTTTAAAACTCAATTTAAATATTATATTCTATTTCATAATCTCTGGCAATAAGGTATTCCAACGATATATTAAAAATAAATCAACCTAGAATATCGCAATTGAAATTCCTCCATTCCATTTTTCCAATAAACGCATTTGTGGGTGAAGAAAAATAAAATAAAATCATCATGATCCAAAGGTGCATAGCATATTATATTGATGATGATAGGCCCAAAAATAATAATTAATCATCATTATTATATTAATGATGTTAATCATCATATCAAATTAATGTCACAGAATTCAATTTTGATGGGTTCAAATAAAAGCCCATAATTTGATGATTATGATAATGATGATGATTATGATAAGGTTACTCATGTGAAATGTAGCAAAACAAAGCAAACTCAAATCTGTATGTATAAACCTTGAGAACATGAACAATATATGTTCAAGATTCAAAATCTTCTAATTAATTCAGAAAAAAAAATATATGAAAAGAAAATAAATAACCAGTAATCATAATAACTTATGGGTTTGGTTTTTGTCATGAAAGACCTTCTGCAGGGACCAAGAGAGCATCCCAGATCATGTCCATGTCCAAAGAAGGCATTCTACTCAACTGCAAACCCTCTGATTCAGACATCACCTCCTCATGATGATGATGATGATGATGATGAACGCTACTTTGCTTCTGTTTCTGTATCATCACTTCTCCTCCTGATTCGAGTTTCCGGCTCAAATTCTTGAACGATCTCGTGCTTAACCCGCTCTCAGACAGATCAATCTTCTCCTGCGACGCTTTCTCGTGATCAAAACCAATGTTCTTCTTGTCAGAAGATGACATCTGACGAAGCTTCGATTCCAAGAGCGAGGCGATCATGTTTCTGAAGGAGCTTGTCTCGAGCTGTTGCCTGAGATCAGGGAAGTTCAAGTTGGCATATTCACCACGCAGAATGTAAGCGGCCGTGTCATAAGCCATAGCTCCTTCTTCTGCGGTGTGGAAGGTCCCCAACCAGACACGAGTTCTGTTCCTTGGAAGCCTTATCTCTGCAACCCACTTGCCCCATTGCCTTTGCCTCACCCCTCTATACATCTTTCCCGAAGATGTTTTGTTGGGACTTCTTGATGATCCAGTGAGCTTCATAGGCTGAGTTTTGGTGGTACTCAACCAGTGATTTCCGAACCCTTTGGAAGGATAGTTGTTGGTTAATGTTTTGTTGATCGGTTTCGATTGGTTTTGATCTGATTGGAGCAGGTTTGGGGTGAAGTTGTGGCTTTTGCAGAAAGGAGTGATGTTATTGTAATCACTGTTGTTGAGATGTTCGGTTTGAGATAGTTCTAGAAAGTTTGGTTCCCGTAGAAACAAGTTGAGGATTGGGGGTTTTGGAGGTGGCTGATGATCAGAAACACGAGGAGATTGTGATTGAGATTGTGTTGGATGAGGAAAAGATTCTAGAAAGTTCCAAGGGACAAGAGATTGATGAACATAAGTGTTGAACTCATCTGAAACAGTGAAGCAGCAGCTTTTCTGTATGTAAGAGCGATAAAGCACGCTGTTTGATGCCTCGGTGACTGGAGACGGCGTTGACGATGATGACGATGATGATGAAAAAGAAGAAGAAGGTGAATAAGACGGCGAAGAAGGATATTTCAGACCGTCCAAGAATCTTGGAGCTCCTAGAGGCTGCTCTGATCTCGATGAATTCAAGATCCCATGAAACCGAGAAGACAGGAGGAGCTTGTTGTCTTCATGCAAGAAGCTATTAGTTTCCATTTTAGGAAACTGGTTTTCCATGTTCATGGCTTCTGTTACTTTTGTTCTGAACATGAAGCAAACTGAAGATGTTTTTTTTTTCTGTTAATACGAAACTGAACGAGGAATAAATGTTTATATATACTCACAAATGTTTGGGTAATTACATGCATCCATACATACACATATACATATATATATATATATATAACAATTAAAAACATTATCGTCTGGCTCAGATCTGCCAAACTTAATTTGTTCATTTGTAACAACAACTATAAAGTCCCACAAATACCTTTTGATTATATTAGCCTTTAATTTTGCCATCTGGCAATTCGTTCGTGCTTCCCATTCATTATCTGTAACGTGTATATATGCGGCTATATTCATCATCATCCATTACATGTGAGAAAAAAAAAAGCATAACACATTTTCTTAAATTGCAATTGTTACAATAACAATAATATATATATATTGTCCTTTTTCACTTTGGCTTTCTTTTATACGAGGTTACAAATTTATTTTTGTTATGTATAGGAAGCTTAGTGCCAAAGCAATTTAATAAATAAACTAATATTCCTAAGTGTATTTTAGGTTATCCTTGTGGCATCTATTTAACCGTGGTATTTATAAGATAAAATTCCCAAAAAAAAATACCTGAATTTCTCATTTTTCACAAAATAAAATTTAAACTTTATTTTTCAGTAAAAAAATACACCCAAATTTTATGATCTTTGTCATTTTTAAATCTATTGTTGACGTGACATTCCGACATCTTATATGTCAAATCAATATTTTGATTATATTTTACACGTCATCATCCACATATCACGAGATATCGGGATATCATGTCAATAATATGTTTAAAAATGATAAAGATTATAAAGTTCGAATTTATTTTTGACTAAAAAATAAACTTGAAGTTTTATCTGATAAAAAAACAAAAGTTTTATTTTATGAAAATTGAAAATTTTAGGTATTTTTTTAGGATTTTTTCTAGAGAAAATTTGCACCAGTATCCAAAAACGTCACGTTATTAGAAATCTATATTTTTTTTTCCTTCCTTTGCAAACTATACCTTTTTATAATTTTTTGACAAAAATACTCTTATTTTATTGTATAATTTCAATGTTGCCATTATTCAAAAAAATTACAGCATAAAAAATATATTTTATTCAGAAACTCTGTTATCTCGGAAAACTATTTTTTTCATCCGAAATAATTATTTTTTATCTCTGAGAATATGTTTTTATTTGGTTTAACTATTTTTGTATACGAAAAAAATAATTTTTTTATCAAGAACTGTTTCTCGTCCGAAAAAATTATTTTTTCATTCGGGAAAGACTTTTTTTTTATCCGAAAAAAATGTTTTTTTATCTGAAAAAGTCTATTTTCGTTTGGGAGAATACTTTTTTTTTGAGAAAATTGTTTTCATAGGAGAAAAAATATTTTTTATATAAAAAAACAATTTTTTTTATACATGAGAACTATTTTTCATTCGGACAAAAAACGTACACTCCCGAACGAAAAACAACTCCCTCGAAAAAAACAGTTCTTCCGGACAAAAAAACAAACTTTTCCGAACGAAAAACAGATTTTTTCGGACAAAAAACAATCCTCCTGGACAAAAAACAGTTCTCCCGGACAAAAAAAAAGATTCTCTCGGATAAAAACAAACTCTCCCGAACAAAAAAAAATCTCCCGGACAAAAAACAGACTCTCCCGGACGAAAAACAGTTCTCCTGGACAAAAGACAAACTCTCCTGGATGAAAAACAGTTTTCCCGGACAAAAAACAGTTCTCCCGAATAAAAACAGTCTCTCCCGGATGAAAAACACCTCTCCCGAATTATACGGTTTCCAAAAAAATCTGCTTTTTATATTGCACATTTTTTGGGACGCTAAATGGCAATATTGAAATTATACAATAAAATAAGGGTAGTTTTGTAAAAAAATTATAAAAAAGTATAGTTTGCAAAGGTCATAACTATTTTGTCATACTTTGCAAAACACCATATCTTTTTGTCACACTTAACCAATAACCCCTTTTTTCTATTTATAACGCAAACCTAGGAATGAGGTTTTGGACCACAAGGTATAATTGACTTCTCTACTCAAAGGTTTTTATTTTAATCCCATATTAATATAATATATCATATCATATATACTGAAAAAAAGAAAAAAAGAAAACAATGTGTTATATGATGTCCTAAATTTTATTTAAAAAAACCCAGAAAATGACAACAAAAGTTATTCAATTAGTTTTTTTCTTTCCCCACAAAATATAATATCTAGCTTTTAAGAGTCTTTAACATCCAACTAATTAGAAAGGTTGAGAGAAATTCTCGTAAATATTTATGAAACATAAGTCTTTTTGACATATTTTGTAGGATAGATTGACCTAATTACTGTGACGGTAACTTTTTTTTAATCTAAATAGTATATACCGATATATATACATATATATGTTAACATTATATAATTTAAGAAAAAAGAAAAAGGATATCATTAATTAACACAAGATATCAGTTAACCACTGCACAAGCTTATAATTAGAGCCTATAATTATTAATATTATCATTAAATATAATGATTATCTTCTAATTTGGACCTCTAACTTAAACTTTAATTAAAATCAATTATTGAGGAAGTCATGGGCTGTCTTTTCTCCCAAAAGAACACATACTCCTCAACTACCATGGCATTTAGAATTTGCCCACAATATTTTGTTATTGTCAAAGTAACCCTAATTAATTTTAAATGTGAGCTTCTACTTCGCCGTATATGCCAAGGAAAATTCCCCCACAAAGCTCTATAGTTTTCCATGAATTTCAAAATGCATATATTTTTTTCTAGGGTTTTCTATCGTTCTTCAAATTCTTGAAACACGTATAATTTACACATGCTATTGTGCAAAATAGTTTGAGAAAATAGATAAAAAAATATGAAATGCAAAACAAAATCTAAAGGTGAGCATATAATTGAGATTTTTTTTTCAATTAGTAAAACACGATATGCGTTTAGAATTTATATCATTCTCTTTACACTCGAATAAAATCAATTTTAGGGAAAAACATGTACAATTTGATCGGAAATAAACATAAGGAAGAATTTCTAAAACATCTTAAATTAGGGGTCGGTTTTAGAAGGTTTCCGACTACTCTCTTACTTTTCTTTTCTCCACATAGTATTTGTGTGTCCTTTCAGATGACTGTTGGGACGTTTCATTATTTTCGATATGAAAAAGGAAAAAAAAAAGGAAACCCTAATATATGATTATATATGAATACGAGGCCATGAATATTCGGAAAAAAACCCTAATGATTATTTTCATTTTGGGGATTTTTAAGTTCTCTTCTTTATAGCAGAAGAAATATTAAAGAAAGAGGTAATCACATAAAAATACCCGAACTTTTACAAAAATCCCAAATAAATATCCGAACTATAAAATTGTCATATAAATACCTGAACTTTTCAAAACTCCCATATAAATACCCAGACTTTTAAATTTTTTCCAAATCAAACAAACACAACTGTTGACTCAGTAAAAAAACTGCTGACTCAACAAAAAAAAACTGCTGACTCAGCAAAAAACTGCTGACTCATCATTCAAAAATATTATTAAATGTTCAAATATTCATCTACATGTATTTAAATTAATATATGCATATAAATTTACATATATATACAAATATATATATATATATATATATATTAAAAATAAAATTATTTATAATTAATAAAACACATATACACATAACTACAATATATATATATATCATTACTAATGC